AAATGGAACGATGCAGCCAGTTTTGTGTCATCGCCGAGTCACAAGGTAATCTCGTATTCGTCCTGGTTCTGCAAGGGACGTTGTCAGCTTCCAGCAGCTGCATCTTCTGGCGTGTTGGAAGATGAGCCACCATTCCCTCATTCTGAGCCTCTTTGAATGATGAATGAAGCCAACTCGCCTGCGCAGCATGCGGGCCAATCACAGACGAATCTTCGGGCAGCTATCTGCCAGTTCTTGGTTAGATTGTCGCTCATCACAGCGCAACACTGGCAAGGAGCGATGGTAAATGGGAGGTGCATTGATGCAAATTGTGGTTAGATGTAACTGAGCATTGACTCAGGACCTCAAAGGGGCACGCCATCCACGTCTCTAAAGTTCGTTAGCTAGCCAAGTTTGTTCTCGTTGAGACTTTCCCGACATGGCTCATTTACATACCTTTTTGGAGAGGAAACTGTCGACGAAGAATGGAGTAGGCGATTCAGAAATGGGGAAGAAGATCAAGTCTAAATCAAAGCTAAAAGGTCTTCGTTACCAATACAGGCTCGCAGCAGCAGCAGAAGCGGTGCCTTGTTCGGCTTACCATGGAAGGAACCAACGCCATGCCGCACCTGCCTATATTATTATTTCTCGCGTCGACCGCAGACCGCCTGCCTCCCGATATCTGGAGATCGCGCTCGTCCGATACCCAATACAGGCAGGGTCTGTAAAAAAAGCTTTCATCTCTTCCTTTTTGGGTAGGGTTGAGCTGTCATACTGCTTCATGGAACGACTCTACTTAATATTCAGCTACTCGGCGGGAGGTCGCGACAATCCCTTTCTGGGCTGCCATGTGACGACGTCCTTAGCAACCACTCTTTCCCGTATTCTGGCTTGAATGCATTGGCTAATTCTTAGAGCTTGCTTTGATTTTACTTCCTAAGATTATATCGGGCAAGAGAGAGTCATTATAAGAGAATCCTGAGGCTATTTCGAGGCCTGACTACCTATAGTTGTAGAGCTTTCCTACGCCTTTCTGTTATCAAACAAAACTATATATACAATGGTCATCCTGGCCAACTCTTGGGGGGTCATCCAGCATCGTCCCGAGCTCGACATCCCATTGCCATTGAACCATAATCATCAACAGACTCATCGCCCCGCAGCTCTGGTACCGGATTCAGGGAAATTGCCAATCGTACTCACAGGTCAGCGCCTCCAGATTGACCTTCTTACGCGTTGCAGTGAGGAAGACATGGACGAGATCCTCGTCCTTGCTCTCCGACTTGTCGCCGATATCCTGCTCCTCGCCCTTCTGCTCAATCTCTTCCTCACCCTTCTTCTGATTGGCCTTCTGCTCGCCGTTCTGCTCGTCTATCTGCTCGTCTATCTGCTCGCCTATCTGCTCGTCTATCTGCTCGTCCATCTGCTCGTCCATCTGCTCATCCATTTGTTCGTCCTGATCCAGACCTTCCTCGTAATGGCTAGCCCCACAATATCCATGGCATAAACCAGATTTACCAGACGTAGAGGTGACACCCACAATCTCGAAAGCATCGCCACGCTTGAGCTTCACCGTGTGGACCCAGTCCTCGGACTCAAGCATCGTGAGCTTGCGGTGCTTGACCCCGGACTGCACGACGTCCATGTACTTCTTCTTCATAATCCAGGCCTCCAGCTGTGGGAGGAGATAGAAGCGCGCCTGCTGAAGGATCATGGCGTACATGGCGTGGTCGAAACCGTTGCGCTCGCACCAGAAAAAGGGGTATTGTCCGGTGCGGAGGTAGCGGATTATATGGCTGAAGAGGTCCGGGTCGTTGTCAATGTGGAAAGCGCCGTCGCGAAACCATTGAGAGATGGGGAGGGAGAAAAGGTGGGCGAACCAGGGGCTTCTTCCGAGGACGTTCGCGCTGGAGACGAACTGACGGCCTCCCACCATGATGACGATTTTGTTCTTGTAAGGAGGCGGGTAGACGAATCCCGGAGGATCGGGGGGGATATCCTGGTGGCCACGACCTGGGTACGGAAGATGTACACGAGGGCCTGTGTTGTACGCAGTGTTCGCGCTGGTCTCATCAGTGAAGGAGGACTCGCTGCCATCCTGAGATATGAGGCTGTCCGCGTAGTCCTTGGCATAAGGGTTGACGTTGGGGTCGTCGGAGAGAATCTCTGGGTACTGGCGAGACCAGAGAGGATTGGTGTAGTAGTCGGGCTCAGCTGTGGGCTGAAATAATGTCGGCTTGCCGTCCTTCAAATAGATCTTGGGCTTCGACTCCTCGTTCCAAATGTCAGGGGACAGGGACGAATTGTCTGCCGCTACCAATCCGTTTTCGCCAGCAATCACAGTCTTGTCAGAGTCGTCTGAACTGTATCCATCGTCATCATCGTCGTCCTCACTGAAGTGGACCTTCTTGTCGCTAGCCTTCTTATCCTCTCCAGAGGTCTTGAGAACGCCATGCGAGGGACTGGGGCTGGCGTATGAACTAGAGGGGAGAGGAGGGACCTCATCCGGCTTCTGCTTCTCAGTGGGAATCTTGGGAAGAGCGCGAGGGGGAAGATGCGAGACGGCGTAAGAAACCGACGGCAGAAGCACCGTATTCTCGGCTGGCTTGTTCGCGGCGAGGGTCTCACCAAGGTGGCTCGAGTGAAGAGGGGTAGGATTTGCCTCAGTCTGTGTCGAAAAGGTGTCGCGCATGGATTTGACGGGACTGAAAGTCGAGGATGGGAGCAGGACAGCGTCAGCCGACTCTCTGTCAACGATCTTCACTGCAGTGTCGGTCCGCTTGTGACGGTAGATTGGAAGCTTTCCGGCTTTTTTCTCGCTCATCTGGGTCGAGCTGTGATCGTCAGGCTCAGAGCTTTCACCATTCTCAGACTTGGCATCGGCGTTGGCAATGTTGATGTGCTCAGTGAGGCTGGTGATATGGCTGAAGTTATTGGCCGTCGGAGAAGCGATTTCAGGCGTGTTCTTGTCGCCAGAAGCCACTTGATCGGCGACGCCATTTGGAGACGCATTCTGATCAATCTGGGCGCCATTTTCGGCTTGAAAACCATCGATGGGAGCAATCATCATGTCGAGTCGCTCAGAGGGTGCCATTGAGATGTCGGTCGAATTTGATGTTCCTTGCGACGAGGAAGCAACCGGCGTAGTTCCAGCTCCTGGGTTTTCCTTATCGCCACCGAAGAGACCAAAGAGGCTCTTTCTCTGGATCTCGTCGGAGGAGTCCGCAGACCGGAAGCGTCTGGTACCAAATTTCTGGTACGGCATTGGCATTGTTGTTGAGAATGCGAGCTTCGGTATATTGGCAGCAGGTTGATCAGCCGCAGCTGGTGATGGGGAAGGCTGCTCGCTGTTAGATGATTTTGGGAAGGAGCAGAAACGAAATATTTTGTTTTGAGTTCTCGAAACATACCTGAGTCTTGCTCTCGGGACGAAAGAGCTCCATCGGGCAAGACACGTAGCCTCTCAAGGCCCGACTACCAGAGTCAAGGGCCATCTGCGAGGCTGGTTGCTGCGACGATGCGGGTCTGTTGAGGTTTCTCATCCAGTGTTGGTGTGGACACACAATGAATTTCAACTGTGTACTAGCACCAAGAGCAGCAGAATAACAAGGTAGGGCTGTGAATAGCAGTTATATTTTCCTCGCATGTTCCTGGACTCTCGGGTGCATATGAAGGGACTTTGTTCATCTAGAATATCTTGTCAACAAAGGTAAAAGGAAAGAAAGGAGAGAAGGAAGGCTCACTAGTATTGAGTCTATTAAGATTCACTTGCTGAAAATTCTTGAAGAGTCAGGTGAGCAATGGTACTTGGACAGCCTGCCTGAGGAGTGAGGCATATCGCAGCGGTTTTCATCCTCGCTTTCGCTAGTGGACTGAGATCCGTCCCAACCAAAATATCTTCACACCAAATGAGGACAGTGCGTCTATTGAAGGCAAGGCGTATCAAACTTGGGTTGATGTGATTTTCCCGGCAGAGGATGATGAAAGGTGGTGGGCAACACTCAGAAGAAGAGAGATTTCCACGAGGTGTGTGGGAGTGGGTGTTGTGATTAGATTGCAAATATACCAAAACATGTAAGAGGGAAGAATCGGAGAGCATTCAGCGAAAATGAGAACACAGGGTCCAGCCAACAAAATAAGAGAGAAAAATAAAACCAATTCACCAGCAGTGGCGCTGCAGAGAATCAATTGATGGTGGTCGATCATCAAGTCCAAGGAGACATCAACTGGGAAACGTCGTCTCTCGCCCTCAACCACTCCCACGACCACTTGGCCGTGTCTGCTGGTGATGGTGTTCAAGTCAAGGCTACTCAAAAGGCACACCCACGCGTCAGCTTTTCAGCTAGAACAGTTGGTATTTCACAGGAAGTCAATATCAATTACTTACAAAATGTCCCTGACAAGAATTATACGTTTACGGAAAGAATTTGGGACATTCATGCCAACCTCGTTTGAATTTTTGTTTTCCTTTCGCAAGATCGCTACTTTCACGCCTGACCAGACGGATCGCACCCTTGAACGCAAGAAAGCTACCCAAGCCAGATGCAAGGGCCTTAGGTTCAGTGGTGAAATAAATGCTCCTGCCCCCAGAACCAAATCTCCGGAGAGATACAATGGTGTTGCTAAGAGATCAGTCTGCGTTGATGTTGACTACATTTACGGTCATCTATCGCTCAGAGGATCGTCGAGCGTGCTGTTGATTTATGCTCACCCTTGGTCTGCCTCGATCAAGTCACAGAATCGAGGCTTGATCGAGAACAGACATCTCACCTTCATCATAACAATGTTTTGGTGACAGAAGGACGTAAAAGTGCGAGGGCGTCGCATCTGCATTTGGAGATTCGTCGTTGACCCCGGCCCCAATTATGGGACCACTTTTCCTTCCAGAAGGGGGTGAGCCTATGTCACTGGGTGTGTACGTAAGCCGCATACTCTCGGTGTTGATAGAGGGGTCCTCTAAAAAATTTCCCTTCTTATCGATCGCAACTTTTTGCTGTTCAGCCATAGTGACAAACCACACCATGGCGCCCATCACACCCAGTCAAGCCGAGCTGGACCGGCGGAGGGTAAGTCAACAAGCCGTTCTACGCAGTCCTCGGTCCGTCTAACGCACTGCTTCTCCAGATAGTCGGCATCAACAAGGAGACCGTCACCGATGTGACCTCGACCGACTACCCGGGAACCTACCCGGGTGAAGACCACTCCTGGGACCTCGAAAAGTTCGCAGAGAACTTTCGCATCCAGTTCCACCACAACAGCCAGCACGACGCGTCATTCTCCCTGATCGGCGTCGACGCCTCCATCGCGAACGCCTTCCGTCGCACCCTCATCGCCGAGATCCCGACCGTCGCTATCGAGAACGTCTACATCGAGAACAACACCTCCGTCATCCAGGATGAGGTCCTCGCCCACCGCCTGGGCCTGATTCCCTTCACCGGCAACCCCGAGGGCATCCACAACTTCCTTAAGTGGTACCGCAAGCCTGAGGATGGCGGCAAGGGCTCTTTCGACTACAACACCGTCCAGCTGCGCCTACGCATCGAGTGCACCCGCAACCCCGACGCCAGCCCCAACGAGAAGGACCCGAACGTTGCCTTCAACCATGCGAGCGTCTACGCCAAGGATATTGAGTTTGTCCCCTCAGGCCGCCAGGTCGAGTTCTTCTCCGGCGAGGACGCCATCCGTCCCGTCAACCCGGACATCCTCATCGCCAAGCTGAGGCCGGGCCAGTGCATCGAGCTCGACATGCACATGCACAAGGGCATCGGCGCCGACCACGCAAAGTTCTCCCCCGTCGCCACCGCGTCATACCGTCTCATGCCTACCATCACTATCACACGACCGATCCTGGGCCAGGACGCCGAGAAGTTTGCTAAGTGCTTTCCCAAGGGCGTCATCGGCATCGAGAAGGTCACCAAGAAGGAGGCTGCGGTTGCCGGCAGCGGGTACGAGGGACACGAGGGCGAGAAGAAGGCTGTGGTCAAGGACGCCATGAAGGATACCGTCAGTCGCGAGTGCTTGCGCCATGCCGAGTTTGACGGCAAGGTGAAGCTGGGCCGGGTGCGCGACCACTTCATCTTTTCCATCGAGAGCACCGGGCAGTGGGACAGCGATCAATTGTTTTTGGAGTCGGTTAAGCAGTTCAAGACGAGGTGTATTCGTCTTGAGCAGCAGGTCATCAACATGGTTAGATGAAGCTTCACTGCACATGTACCATACCTATAGATATCCCGTGGTTTCTGGTTTTGCAACGGCTGGCTGGCAATGGAAAGAAAAAAGTTAATTCATGGCAATGCGTTTATTTTATTCTCTTGATATTTCACCTGAAACAATCAACTCCTGTTTTATGGCACATAGCGCCGCGCTTCGTCCGTCTTGGCCATATCATGCCTTCATTATTGTCCCTCGATACTTTTGTGGGGGTTTGGTGATTATGCAGTTCCCCTGAACCGCAGGTAGAAGTTGAACTCGAGTGGGAACGCCGGGTCAGTGACAATCACGTTTTGCCCGTCCTCCAGTCCCAACTCCTGGATGGTCTTCTCAAGATTCGGCCTTGTCTTTTCCTCCAAGCTAGGCGGGAATTGCATGTATAGCGTCTTGCCCTCGCCTCGAAGGGACGGTTTCTTCAGCTGAGCCTCCGGCCGGGTTGCGAACGAGTCCACAAGCTCTTGGAGGGTGCTGTTGGGGTCAACCTCCAGTGCTCGTGATTGCTGTCCGCAGACGGGGCAGTCCTCCTTCTTTTCGTGTCTGAAGGTGTAAGTGTAGACACTGTCGTTACCAGAGTACATCATGTAGTTCTCCTCCATGCCAAGCGTGGGTGCCGCAGAGCTTGCAAGCTTGAAGGCCTCGTTGCAGCATGACGCAGCAATGATGGCGTTCGTGGAGGCGATAGCCGGGATGATATTCTTGATCACGCCTTGGGTGAGGGCGTAGGTGACGCCCGAGATCTTGAACTCCTCTGCACGCGCAAGTGCCTTTTGGTACAACCACGAGACGTGTGCAGGGTCATCCTTGTCGAGCTGGGGGAACGGCTTCTCCTGATCCCATGCGATAACATGCGCCCACTCGATACAGTGCTCAGGCTGACGAGGGATTGAGGCGATGGTGCAGAGAGGAACAGCGGCTCTAGGGGCATGCATATCCAACTGACACTCGATACAGGAGGTCATTGAGGGGATGACCACACGAGCCTGACCCTTGAAACCCTCTGTACCGCCATCGATCAAGGGAATCAGACAGTCGGCATCCTCGCCCGCTTCAGCTATTGATACCAACATGGCGTTGATCCATCTTCGTGCTTCAATACTGTCCAGGCCACAGATGACAAGCTGAAATTGCTTGTAGAAGTCGGCGTCGAAGTCCTGGATGCGGCAGTTATGGGCGGTGATTGTGACGCCCTTCACACGGCGCATGACGAACTGCGCTGCGCATTCGGATTTTGACTTGCCCACATCGGACTGGCGGAAGAGGAATTGTCGGTTGAGGTTCGAGATATCGATAGTGTCTGGTACGCTTCAGTCCGCATGGGCGCTGCCATTGATGTCGGTTGCGCTTACCCATATCAATGACGTGGATGTCTTTGAACTTGGACATTGCCAAGTTCTTCAGTATTTCACAACCCAAACCGCCGGCACCACTGGGAACTCGTTAGTCGGAGGTGTCAGAGGTTTCATGGCAAGTGACGAGACACGTACATAACCCTGTTGACCCCATGTTAGCGACTGGCAATGATGTCGGAGTGCGTTTCCTTTGCTTACAATACTTTCATCTTGTCAAACTGCTCGAAGGCCTCCGGTGTTCCGGCGACATCTGGGTCGCTGAACGGGCCGGGGTTCTTTCGGATGTTGTCGAGATATGTCCTGAAATCATGCAGGCATCAGCAAACGAAACAGGCGATTCGCGATGACAAGCTCGGTTTGTATCTACCATCTCTTCTCTTCGTTCACGGTGCTGGCCGGCGTTGAGCCTGTGGCTATCGCAGTAGAGGCTTCGGTAGCCATGTCTGGTAGGAGAAGCCGGTCGAGCTTGGAGTTGAGGGACTGAACGGGCTCGAATGTGGTGTCTTGATCCCGCTGCTGAAGCTGGCTGTCGGGAGACGGAGGGGCCGACATGATGAAATAGGCGGCCTAAAGTGCCTGGACGATTGCGGCCGTGCACGATAAGCGTTATCGGAGGTCTATCGATTGCTCTAGTGGGGTTGCTACAAGGGTTAGGAGTGCTACACTAAGCCGAGGGTGGTGGGGTGGGTGGAAATGCTGTGAACGCTCTCGCAACGTCGTTGCCTTCGTCTGTGCTGCCTGCATTTTCCATCAGAAGCGAGAATGATGTGTTCCTACTTCTTATAAAAATTAAGCGCTTGCAGAACTAGATCGGAGATAACAAATGCCGATAGCCAACAAAGTTTGCTAAAAGATCTGGACGAACCAAGAAAACAAGCTCAAGATTAACCTTTTCTCGACTTTCCCCTTGGGACCATGCAATCGACCTAAGGCTAGTCAACGGCGATGGACTTCACCCCAGTCAGCACGACCTACCTCAAGGCCAGGCCTGTCGACCCTTCTCACCAGGAGTCAGAAACGATTGCCAAGGCTAAGCCGGCCATTCAAAGTACCGAGATCGACACTGTCGAGATTGCTTTGGAGACCTTGAAGAGCCAACCGGACTACGACACTCTCATATCTGTCTTACAGTCTCTCGATCATGGGCGTATCGCCAAGTCGGGCTTCAAGATCTCAAAGCCAAACCCGGAGGCCGCACAGATAATCCAGTGCCTAGTTTCGGAAATAATCCCGAATTACTGGCCTCTGTTGAAAGAGGATGCTTCTACCTCGAGAGCTGGTCAAGGAACCGATCTGGAGTTATTATTGAAATCCCTCAGAAACGTCACCGGGCTCAACGCAGCAATCACCCGGCTGAAAGCCTTGGTCCAAGAGTCAAAGGCTGGTGCGAAAGATGTGAAGAGGCCAGACCTAGCAATCAACTTGAACGTCCTCATTGAGGTCTGCTCGGCAGTGCTAGAAAGGGATGATTGCCTCGCTGCGCTTTGGGACGCGAGCAGCGCAGGTCTGGATACCGTGGCCCAGCGCCGCCCGATGGCTCACGAGTTCACCGCACTCATAGCTGGGGGGCGGCTTGTGTCAGTTGCAGCTGAGGCAGACGTCCTCGCCAACCCGGACAGAGCTTCGAGGAACGGTCTCTGGGTTGCCGACGGACTGCAATACAGCAAGTGGCTTGGAAGAAACATTACATACTGGGCAAAATGTGATATCTCTTCCGATGATATCAAGCTCTGTGCCGAAGTATTTGCAAGGTCACTGCGCCTAGGGTATTCAGGTAGGTCAATTGCTATCCGTTTTCTGCTGTTGGGAGGGACGTGTCAATTAACCCTGTGCCAGATGCATTGATGAGGCAGCTCATCACGGATATGCTCCTTGGTCCAGAAGATAATCGCAACGCTTTCTTCAAACTATTCGGTCAATTCTCCCAGCTGGAACAGAAACGAACAATCTTCGCGGTCCTGAAACACTTGTCTGAAGTCTTCCTTAACAAGCTAGATGATGAAGAGACCGCAGAGCCGAGCCAAACCATCTCTGCAGCTGCGGGTGTTGTTTACAGGTTGATCGCAAACGGGGAGAGTCGGAAAACTCATCTTGTTTCATGGCTCACAAGCTCTACCGGCGCTGGTCTCGGAGAAGGCATTGGGATCAGACGTGCGGTTTTGGCTGCTTTGGCCCAAGATAAAGAGTGCATCAACCTAGTTCTCGAAAAGAGCATCAACCAATTTGGAGACCAGCTCTACATCAAGCACTCTCCAATTCTGCAGCAGCAGGCCCACGCCCAGGTCCTGCTTCTCAGTGCCGGATACGTCAACAGGCTCTCGCCCCTGAAACTCAAAATGATCATGCGGTCTGCCGCCTACCTTAATACTGTCTCCAACAGAATTGGTGCCTCTCAAGAGAAAGCCAGATTTCTAGGCCTGGCGGTAGGCGAGGCACTCTCGAGTCTGATTGATGGAAGCGACAAAAAATTGGATTTCAAGATGGAGGAGATGGAGACCAACGAAGCCAAGTTCTACAAAGATCTAGTCAAGGTAACAGATCAGGTCGGCCCCATCGACGTCCTCATCACCAAGCTCTCAGCAGAAGAGAAGAGACAGCCACTGGCACCCAAACCATCTCGACCAAAGCCAGCTCCGAAGCCGAAGAAGCAACCTGCCGCGCCCTCAAAGTTTATCATCCAAGAAGTGTCAGACTCGGAAAGCGAAGACGAAGATCTTGTTCGCTATGCCAAACCTGACTCCGACCCAGAAGACTCAGACGAGGACCCGACTCTTGTGCGCCGCGACAAACCCAAGGCTCCTGTTTACGTCCGCGACCTGCTCTCCTATCTCCGCGATACAGACAACTACGACAAGCAGAAGCTCGCCTTGACAACAGCTCCTACCTTGATCCGGCGCAAAGCCAACTTTGGAACAGAAGTGACCGACCACGCCGAAGAACTCGCCACGCTGCTCGTAGGTCTGCAAGACAAGTTCGAGATTGAGAATTTCTGGGACCTCCGCTTGCAAGGTATGATGGCTGTCGTGGTAGCTCAACCGCAAAAGATGGGACAGTGGTTTGCAAAGACGTTCTTTGATGGCGACTACTCCGTCTCCCAGCGCGCCTCAGTTCTCATCGTGCTCGGCCTTAGCGCCCGTGAGCTCGCCGGCTTCGATGCCTCAGAATACGCCGCCGCGGCATCCTTTCCCTCCAAACGCCTCCCGGAGAAGATGGAGGCACTCTACCTCGACGAGTCAACATCCAAAAAGCTCCCCTCGTCAACCCTCAAGGCCCTTCCCTCCAACGCTCTCGACACCATCGCCAACTCCCTAACTTCGGCCTTCATGGCTCCCATAGCAGCCAACGCAGCAGATGCAACAACCGGCCCCGACGCCCTGAAACTCTCCACCTTCACCTCTCGCCTCCAAAATAAGACGTCCAAGAAGAAGACCGGCCTACGGTCCATTCCCAACACAACCGCCTCGGTGCTCAGCACATCCTTCTTCTTCCCTCTGACCGCACGCTTCCAGCATGCCCTGCGCTCCCACTCCGCTCGCTCAGGCGTCTTCATCCAGTCCCATCTGCTCTCGCTCTACCTCAAGACGCTCGCCGTGCTCATCCACTCGGCGGGTCCAGCGACACTCGCGCTCCCTCAGA